TCTTTCCAAATATGTGTAAATGGGCATCCTGCTGCATATTGATTTCTGGGGGAGTAGTAAGAGGGCTTGTTCAATATTAATGATTGCAAACTGTTTAAAAACTATTGCACTATACTGGGCCACTTAGACTCTTACAGCTCACTCTAAGTGAAGAACTTTTATAATAATCATTTGTTATGCAATTAAGCAATTAAGGTGCTGGTTGGAGCAAGGTTCTTCAAGGGAATGGATCTGATCGACAGCAAAGAAAGCAAATGATCCCAGACCTGAACTCTCTGGACTCTGCTGTGTGTTTGTGCTGGAGTGGATCACTTGCCATTAAGAGGGCGAGAAAGACAATGTATTAAACACATCTTAAGCTTCACAGCTGTTTGCATTTATCTGACATATTTATGTCGGGGCCGATAAAGATGTTCGCCAGGATACAGGTATACAGTAGGTTCCTCTGTTCTGGAAATTGTCAAATATGCGCATGAGCAAATTCTGGAGCAGCTTGAGTTACCTGTTTTACAGCAGCAGAGAGGCAGATTAAGTTGTTAAAAACTCAATGTCATAGGTTCTAGAGGTAGTGCTGTGGATGGAGAAATGAAGTCACGTGTTTACACGAAGAGTAGCAGGAGTCCAGAACAATGCCCAGCTAGGCTGCAACAAAGCCCATTTCTGGGATTCTTCAAGTCAGGGGTGGATGGGATTCTGGGATCATTTAGCTGGCGAGCAGTGAGCGAGTGAATTCCGGTTTCCAAAGAAGGTGAAGACTCCCTGGATATTGTTAATTTGAGCGGCGGTTTTATACTCTCCGGGCTTTTATTGTGATTGATGGGGATTTGGGAGGTGCGAGACTGCTGTGGAAATCTGTTCATTTCAGCAAAGAAATTAGAAATCATGCAGGCTCAGGGAAGGGCCCGTCAACGTAAACTACTCCTCGCCCCCAATTAGAGGGGCAGAGTGATGGAGTGTGCGCGGGGCAGGTGGGTGTTTGTAATCCAGCTCTCCGCGATCTAATTAATGAGCGATGGTCATGGGTTGTCACAGCCAGCGAGGACTGTGCTTGAAATCCCAGATGGAGTCTCTGCCGGCTTTGCTGAAACGCTTCTGAAAGGAGGAGAGCCCGGGTCTGGACTGGAGTTTCCCCCTCTTGTCTCTTGCACTGTGCTTCCACCTCGAAAGTGACCATTCTGGTGCCGAATTTTTTCAGGAAGTCACCGGGGGAAGCTCGTAGCCAGTACCATATTCCCGCGGAGCCCCCTGGCTCCTGAGCGTCCAGGATTCTTGGGAGGAAAGGGAGAGGAACAACTAGAGGTGTGAAAGCTGGTTAGAAAAACGTTCGATTTCCTTTCGAGTGTCAGCTAATTTGTGTTAGAGCCTTCAGGCTGCTAATGCCAACATTTCAGTTACTGATGTCAGCAGTCTTGTTTTTCGCCGTTGAAATCCTCTCCTGCTCAGACGCGGCGAGACAGGACGAGCAGAATGCTCACTCATTAAATGCCCAAGCACAGCCATTATGCACTTTTATTAAATTGAGATCCGCATTTGCAGCAGACAGGGGGCCCATTAGCACTCTGCCCTAATGGAAGGCTCCTCAGACTCCTTTAGCTCTTGAATCCAGATGGGGGGCTGGGGCTCGCTTCAGCTGAGCTCACGGGACGAGAAAGCCACCCAGCCTTGTAGTTTTCTGCCATTTCATCCTAATGGCCTTTTGTGCTTTTTTATTCTGCTGTTTGTGCAAGCCAGGAAACCCACAAGACCCATCCTGCGCGAGCTGCCGTCATGCATGCCTGGGTTTCATGGGTGCTTTTCAATGAGCAGTTAAAACCTAAACAGGTGATTTCACTTTTTCATTAATCTGTTCAATTAAGCAATTATGATCAGAGGGATAGCAATGACCAGAGGACAATGCAGATATGTCTTCTGTAAAGAAAGGTACCAGCTGATAGTTTACTCTGGAACTGTACCCTGACTATTACAGTCGGATAGGAACGTGGGAGGTGACAACTGAGAAGAGCCATTCAGCTCATCTGGCCTGTGTGGTTATTAGTAGTTAATTGATCCCAGGACCTCATCCGTCATTCTTTTGAAAGAAGCCAACAAGCTTCAACAGCTTGTTCCACACTCCCACCACCCATTGTGTATAGACGTTCCTTGAGTTTTAAATGCAATTTAATGGCATTTCCACTCGTTCCATCTGGTCTGTGCTTCAGCATTCAGTGCAACGAATGCCCTCCCTCAAATAGCAGGACATGTGCTGCCCTCCTGTTTGACAAGGCTGCTGCGTGGCCCCTACTCGTGACTTTAGTGCCTGCTTCTGGTGATGCAATAGCTCCCCCCTGTGGCTGGGTGGGTGCCTGCAAGTTTGCGGTGCTGCGGCTGCTGAGAGCTGCGTCACTCCTCCAGTTCAGAAACGGACAAAGGAGACCACTGTGGCGCCTGCTGGCAGGCAAATTGGACATCTCGCAGCGCAGGACGTCTGCGACGGCCCCTGGACAAAAGGGTGTGCAGAAACAGCATAAATAGGCAACATTTCTGAAATAAGTCATCAAAGCAGAAAATGCTTCACACATTCTTCTCCACAGCTTATCAGCACTAGCAGCAGTTCAAACCGGAAGAACAGAGGGGGATTTCTTGCATGCCTAACATGCCTGATGTATGACAGCGCACTGCTTCTATCCCACACTTTCTCAAAGAAACTGCTGATGTAGAAACAGCTTCTGAACTCAACACTGAGCAGCAGGTACCCGTTCCAAAGCCTTCTGCCTGTATCGGTGGGGAATCTGAGAGTGCTTTTATGCTGCGGTGCTTGCACACCCTCGTGGTTATTTCAGTAGCCACTCGTGGGGCTCCTGCTCCAGTCTGTCCCTGTTCCAGTGGGTGTCAGCTCGGCTGGCAGGAGGCGGGTTTCACACGGAGATGTGCAGGCCTGCACCCTTCCAATACTGGTGTGGGGGATTGGGGGGGGGTTCCAAAAATAGAAAATAAGTGGGGGTGCCAAATGTGAAGCCCAGAAAATAAGAGGTGTGTGCTGTGCGTGGCAGAGAGTAGTGGCCGTGATCCCTGGCACTGCGGCCCGTCCGGGCACGGAGACTGCCCGGGGCTGGAGTCGGTGAAGCACGTCTACTCGCCACACTCCTGGGACCTGGCCTGTGCCAGTGAGTCACTGTCCCTCCCGGCGAGTCAGCGGTGACTCACGTTGTTCGGAGAATTATCTGCACGTCCGGGAGGAGGGAGGCAGAGAGGGGGAGATGGAGTGGATCACTGTAACGTCGTAAAAATCGGCTCCGTGAACCCGCTCTGCACACCGAGTCGCTCACCTTGACAGGCCGCCAGCGATTCCGCGACTACTGGTTCCCCTTTCACCCCGAAAACAAAGGGGTTTCTTCCCTGGCGGTGAGAGAGCGCGCCGGGGCAGAAAGAGTCTCCTGTGCTGCTGAAAGGCTGTAGCTGTAAGAACAGACAGGCAGGTGCCGCAGTTTCTCACTCAGCCCTTTCACCGAGAGAAGAAGAGGTTGTCTGCCAGGGGGCAGCAAATTCCTGGCTTCTGCACTGATCTTTTCCTTTCCAGCCCACAGCAGGATACCACCCCCGCTGAGCCACGGTCTCTCTTAACTAGGCTGGTCCTGTTCTGTGACCCCTGGTGTCAGGCTGGTTTTCCATCACTCAAGGGAGGGGCAGGAGCTGTAGGGGAAGCAGATCAGTGGCGCGCAACGCTCTGAAGCCCATTGTCCACTGTGCAGTATTAATTTAGTTACTCATTATTATGTCCTCCAGTAAGCAGTCCAACAATAACAGGTGTTCATGCTGAATCATCAGGACAAGGTAAGGAAGCGATCAATAAGGATGATAAAGTTTCAGGTTTAAAGTCAAGTTACAACTTTACAGTCCACTTGTTTAGGGAGTCTGCTCAGGCAGCTGGCAGGGGAAAACAAACACTGAAGAACAGAACAAGGATAACAGGCAAGGGTGGGAGCAGGAGGAATCCACCGGCACCTTGCCTGGGGAGGGGAGGAGAGGTATCGGAGTGTTTCACCACCTCCACAGCACAAACAAACACGCAGCACCAAGACTGATGATGAACACTGCTTGCACCCGGGCAGTGACAGCGCAGGCACTGGTGTGTGATCTCAAGAGCTGGGCTTCTGGAGCCTCTGCCAGCTCATGAGAGCATGGACCGCCAGAGTCCGAGGCATCGGGCTGTGTCAAATCGCTTCCCTTAGTCGATCCCTGTTTCATGCTGTAAGTCTTTCAGAAATCTGTTTGAAAGGAGATTCGGAGGCTAGCGTGGCACAGGGAACAGACTGGACGGGCAGGTCCTCAGGAGAATGACTAGCTGCCACATGGGGTTGGTGTTTCCGGGCTTGTTCTTCAGCAGTGTACTCAGCCATGGTAGATCATCAATTCCCTACAGGATTAATAAAGTATTATCTATCTATCTGATGGTCAACAGTATTTAATTTAAAATATTTCCGGGTAGATTGAAACGTGATTAGGCTGGAAGCACGTTGATCGCCTGTACTCTTGTAGGCATGGGAGCCTGCTCAGCAGACCTCCCTCCTCCCTCCCTCGCAGACCTGCCCCGTGGGACAGCTGCTCAGGGCGTTAGCTGGAGTGGCTCAGGGGGCTGATCACGACTGCAGGAGCAGCAGCAGCTGCTGGCAGAACGTTGCAAAGGGACGGTTTAGTCTGGGTCTCGTGTGAGTGCGCATGTTCCAGCTGACAGGGGCACAGCAAGGACAGCCCGGAGGTGCTGGACTGGAGCTGCCGCAGCCTGTGAGCTCAGAGGGCTCCTCGCAAAGTCTTCTCACAGATCGAAGGAACGGATCCCAGAGGCCATTCGTCCATCTGTCTGTCCGCTCTGCTTGATTGATCAAACTGAGTGAAAAACACTTAAAGTGGCGTTTTTTGTGTCTTTGGATTTGTGCCTTTCCACCACTGGTGCAGAATAACAGAATGGGCTGAACAGCTGACACTGTGACTCCCTGTGTCTTTGTCTGTTCCTCTCTCCCTAGCCTGCCTGCTGCAGTCAGAGCTGGTGAACTACGAGCGAGTGAAGGAGTACTGTCTGAAGGTGCTGAGCAAGCAGGAGGACAACTTCAAAGCCATGTACCGCGCCGGCATAGCCTTCTACCACCTGGGCGACTACAAGAGCGCCCTGCACTACCTGAAAGAGGCCGCGTGCCGCGAGCCCACAGGCAAGTGCAACTTTAATTACCTCTCCCTGGCTCGCAGGGGTGCTGTAGAGGCAAGGGCTCATTTTGCTGGGCTGTGCTTTATTCTGTAATTAGAGAGAATCACCGAGTGTGTGTGTGTGGGGGAATGCAAACGGTGACAATCCTGATAGAAGTGCTGAGCGAGTCCAACATGCTGCAGACAGCAGAAAAATGACTCAGTAGCTCAATTACACCCCAGATCTCCCATCAGAAATGGGTGGTCAGCAAGGTCGGTGCGTTTCGTCTGTAAACAAGAATCCAGAGCTGACCTGTTCCTCTTGAGAGCTGAATCCTGCCCGTGTGTTGCAGGGACATTGTGGGGAGATAGACCGCTTGAGCTGGGAGAGCTGGCACAGGTGGCAGAGCATGGGCTTGGTGCTCTCCAGGCTCGGTCTTCTTCAGCACGTTTTTTCAGGACAGCCACCCGAGGGCTGAATTGAGCTGAATGCGTGGTGCCCTCCCTGAGCTTGGCTCCCTGTCTTCCCTGTCCTCTGCAGACACCAACGTGCTGAGGTACATCCAGCTGACGGAGATGAAGATGAGCAAGAGCACCCCGCGAGAGCAGAAGAGTGGCAGCGAAGCCATGGGCTAGCGACCCCCGTGACCCACAGCCTTCCCAACCCCACCTGCCCCCCGCCCCCTACACCCCTCCCTTCCGCCAGCCCCTGACCTGCAAACTGTTTCCTGTTGTGCCAGGACCCTGGCACACCACGCCATGCCACGCCACGCCAACCTTCCCGCCACGGATTCGGTGCCAGGCAGATACATGAGACGCCTGCAGAGCTGAAAGAGACAATGAAATAATAACACAATAAGAAGAAAATGATAATACGGGACATCACATACTCTTCAGTACAAGGAGAGGAGGATCGTCTGTACGGAAGCTGTGATTTCCGGCAAGGTGGCCCAGGAGTGGGGGCGCTGTCGTTGTTTCTTCCCAGGGGTCTGCAGGACCAGGCACAGCGGGGTATCGGCCGCAACGTCGCAGAGAGGGGGAAGGAACAGGCCGTTTCCCCAAAGGTTCGTCCCGCCAGTGGCAGGAGCCAGACTGAGATTTCATCACCCCGTCCCGCCGGCGCCCCCTGCTGGACGGCGTGAAGCCACCCCTATTCGGAGCCCCTGGCGGCAGACCGGGGGAGGGGTGTGTGTGTGTGTTCATCCAGCGATTTACTCCAACGTGTTAAAACTTTTTTTCCCCCCCCCACGAGGAGGAACACAAAAACAGAATGCTTTTTGTTTTAATTTTGAGTTTTTTCTTAACGTTGGAAACAAAAATCAGTGAGCATTCATCTCTGGACAGTGTTTAATTCAAGGGCTATTTAGTGTATCTAAGTTGTTTCTGAGTTCTGTAACACCGTCTGCCCCTCTCCACCTGGTGCCAGCTGGGCAGCCTGAGCGGGCGTGGCGCTCCGTGGGCACAGTTAGATCACGAGCCATCCTAAACTGACGTTTCTGCATCGGCCTGGGCCGGGGAGTTATTTTGGTGCTGTGCTTAGGGATGTTCCGGGCTCTTGTGCGACACCAATCATCTTCCCCCCTTGTGAGCAGGCTGTCCACAAGCCGTTTTTCTGAGATGGAGAATGTCCGACAGAAAGACTGTTAACAGCGCACTATGATGCCGAAATGGAGAGGATACACACTCTCTTCATAGCTATTTCCTCTTAGTCCCGAGTAAATTGAGTGGGAAGCGTCAGTTGGCTGCAGATTAATGAGGAGAGGTTCATTCCAAGCTGAAAAGTAGGAAGAAAAAAACAATGTGGTTGTTGAACTGTCACACGCCTGATGAATCGCGACAGGAGCGCTGTGTTTTTTCTTTCTTGCTACTTCTCTGCGTGTCTCTTGGTTGTACTACTCTCCTGCAGCTCGTGAGAAAGGTGTCCCACCTTTCCTGTATATGACTTCTGGAGGGTAGCCCACCGATCCAGATGTTGTGGGTTCGAGCCTGGGTCGTGTCCGGGCTCCCCTGGGTGGGGTCGGGAGGAGTCGGCCCAGGCTGTCGTGGCAGAGGGGCGCCTCTGTGCCTGAACGCTGTGAAACGCGGGCGGTGGGCGCACCCTGAGGCCGAGAGGCCTGGCGTGTCTGTTCCAGTCGGCTTCTTTCAAGGGGAGAAAGAGAAGAGCTGATGAAATATGAAAGAAAAACAGGGCCTGTTGCTTTAAAAGCGGTAGATTGATCTGGCATGCTTGTATCTGCGAGAGTCTGCTGGTCGTCTGTCCAGACGTGACCGCTGGGCTCCGTGCCGTGGTGCAGATTAGTGAACAGGCTGGGTTCAACAAGCCCCTTGTGAAGCCACGAGTTGTGTCCTCATGCCCCCAGAGCTCTGGGAGCCCAGGTTCCTGTCCCGCAGAGCGGGGAGAGAGGTGACGTGTTGTTCCCGGTGCCGGCTGGAGCTGGACCCGCCCTGAGGGAGCAGGGATGAAGCTCCCGGACCTTGGGCCCATTTGAGCAGAGTCCAGGTTCAGCGGAGGAGAGGTGATAGCCGAGCGCTGCCCTCGCACACCGGACTGCTGTCTGGGACGTTGTACCGGTTCCTTAAGACTGTTAATTACTCGATTACTTGCAAAGTGACGTCATATGTAGCTGCACAACCTAAATCACGAAAGAACGAGTGTTCAGCGCCTGTTCGAGGTGAGAGTACAAGACATTCAGAAGAGGTGATATGTCTGTATGAGGCAAAGCTGGAAGTCATAAAGAGATTAGTGACGAGCAGTCTGAACCCTTCCGAATGTTTGGCCAGTGTCTTGTCTAGAGGACATGGTGCTCAGGTCCCTGTGGTTATAAGTGAGATCTCTGGCTGTTGTCTTTTAAGTGTTTGCTGGCCTGTTGAGGGGTGACGTTACGGTCTGGAGACACCTGGGCTGCTGTCTGAACTCCGGGAGAGACTTCGGTTGTGAAGTCTGTGGGTGTGGTCAGCAGGGAGGAAGGGGCTCTGCCCACCCTGGGGACAGACGGGGCCCTGGTGTTGCCTGTCTGTTCCAGCCAGCCCTCAGCGCCGTGATTTTGAGCTGCAGTGCTTCTGTATCGGGAGTGAAGGAGAGGAAGGGAGATGGCTGGCCTGAGGAGGGTTTTCTCAGCGTTAGTGCTGATTGGCTCCCAGCCCTCTGCCAGTCACAGCGCCCCCTCCTGCCAGACGCAGCACACAGCTTGTGCTCTCCCTCCCCCAGGGCTGAAGGATCAGCATGTCCTGAGCAAGCTGGTTCTCGAGATGAGCGCAGCAATCAGCAATTAAACATTACAGCCCGTTTGTCATCGCGCTCAATAGCTCGGATGACTCACGCGGCCTGGCGACAGGCTTTAGAGTTGGCTTCTGAGTGATTGATGTTAAATGTTGCTTTAGAGAAGGAAACAGGGGGAGGCAAAGTTTATATGAACATAGAAATGTGACTTAAAGAAGAAAATGACATTTATTGCACTGACATTAGAAAAGCCAAGACAAAGCTTCAGTACAAGCTGAACCAGGCGTGTTCGTCAGGCTTTTAAAAGAAAGACTGTTGTGAGGAACAAAGGAAAGTTTTTTTTCCCAAATGGCTGCAATCAAAGTTTTGCATAATTTTATCTTCTGTTCACTTTTTTCATTCTGTGATTTGTTGTTGGGTTTAGAATTGACCTTCCAGTGAATCATCTCTCTTGAGAAAAGCAATAACCTTCTAAATGTCTTTATTGGGGGGGGATCTTTTTTTTACAATCGATGGAGATAAATCTGCGCTTAAATTAAGAAGATGCAGTGGCTGAAGTGAAGTTAATTAGACCTTAGAAATCAGCTTAGTAATTAAAAGTGTCAGTGAACTGCAAAGCAGAATGTAACTCTGGCCTGGCCTCCCCTTCTGATTTTAACCCAGCAGTTTCAAACTGAGACAGGCTCATTCTAGACTACTCTTTAAAAACTGCTGTCAGGAAGTAAGATCAGAAGATCAAGCATGGCAATGTCGGGTAGCTTGCAAAGCCTGGTGCAGGTGTTGGTGCCGGTGGCTGATGTGTTGTGAAGAAAGCAGGAAGCTTCACCTGTTACCCAAGTGTGTAGAAGAGCATTGAGCAGCGCTTTCACTGACGGGGTTCAGAGCACCGTGCGAGGCTACTGTGCGTCCCCCACCGGGCTCTGGCCTCGTTGCTGTCCGACAGTTTGCCATGTGATTTACGAGCAGTCACTACGGAGACTCGTTTGAGAAATTCAGGATTCAGGAGGTGTGGCACTCGGGGCGCCCGGCGGGGAAGCCGCAGGGAAGCTGAGCCAGAGCCCCCCAATGCGTCCTCTATGAAACGCGGGTGGTGGCCACACGCTGAGGCCGAGAGCACCACCTGTCTCTCAGCAGGGGGCATCTCGCCCCGCCATCGGCACGGGGGGGCAGTCCTGGGTGGAGCCCTGGCAGAGGGGTGCATGGGGAGGGTGCAGGGGGTGCTGCGGCGCTGGCAGTGCGCCCCTCGCTGGCGGGGGCTGAGAGCAGGACTGCCCCGTTGGCAGCCAGGCTTCGTGATGTAGGCCCGGGGAAGACACTGGTGAGGGCTGGATCCGTGGTGGTGAGGCAGTCCGATGTGTGTGGACGTGTCTTGTGTATATTGTTGTGAAACACTTAACGGAAGCTGATGTCTTTAGATGCTTAACCCTGAGGAGAGCTGGGGCCCATTTTTGTTTCTCTCCAGGTTGTGTTTTTTTTTGCAGTTTGTCCCAGTGGATGGAGCGTGGGTAGGGACTAAGTCAGGGCTGTTCCTGGTCCTGCAGGGTCAGCCTGTCTGCAGGCTGTCCAGTCCTGGTCGTGCAGGGTCCGTGTCAGCTGCTCTGAGCTCTTCAGGTGCTGCTGCTTTGAAGAGACACGGAAAACCTGCAGACACACTGATCCCTCCAGACCCAGAACTGGGCACCCGTTGGCTAAGTTATCTGAAATATGCAGAACTCAGACAGCGTGAAGGAGAAATGAGGGCAACTACTGTAGCTGTTGTCATCGATTCTGACTGAACGGGTGCTCAGCCAGGCCAGGCAGAGTTCGCTGGAGCTGAGCACCTCTCCCCTCCTCAAAACTTTACAGGGTCAGCCCTTCGTGATGCTTTGGTTCAAAGAAAGAAAGAATCGAAAGTTTCCTGTGATCATCCCTCCTGGGGAAAGTTCCTTAGATGTGTAGTAGGATTAAGCTTTCATTCTGGTTGTTAGGCCACTGCAAAAAGACAAAAGCACAAATGTGGAAAATGTTTTCTTTATTTGTTCAAAGTACTGTTTGGCTGTGAAAGTGTTTTGTTTTGTGCTCAAAGAAGTTAATAAAAGCTTTATTTTGGGGGAAGGGGTGGTTAGGGAGACATGGTGATGACCATCTTTCAACCTAGAGCTCTGTGACCCAAATGTCCTGGTGAGTATTTTTCTTTGAGAGATGCTACATTTAGGCATTTAGAATCCCAGCAGGCAGCAGTGTGCAGTGTTAGTGCACTATGTGTTTACTGTGGACACCTGAGCTCTAGTCAGGCCATGCACGGGAAGTTAGTATTCTGTCTGTTCACCTGCAGGGGGCAGTGTTCTGTCTTGGAGTCAGTAGTGGGTCGCAATCAATGTTAATGCACTAGCTTCCAGAGACCCGGGTTCCAATAGGGGAGCTGGGATTGTGCCTTTCACCTCCAAAGTTCATTGTGTTGAATTCCCAAGGGAAGCGTCGCAGACCAGTTTTTAAAAAACCAGGCGGCGGTCACGGCGAGGGAAAGAGCACGGACTCGTCTCTTCGGACAGGAAGCAGCGACGACAAGCCATTCCCACACGAAATCCATATCGAATCTGAAGTAGACCGCGCGTTAACTGTGTAGGAAAAAACAGAGTGCAGAGATCAAAAGTAACAAAATATTTTAAACGTGGTGACCTAGAACTCCTAGCAAGTGAATGCACTATGGATTGATATATGAAAAATCTAAATAAAACTTGGAACAGATGTGTCTGGTTTGTAGTTCATTCCTCTTGGCGTGTCCTCACGGCTCGTGCTCTGAACAGCTTTGTCAGTGAGCGTATAAGACATTGCTGTGCTCGCCACTATCCCTACCACACCTTCCAGCAAAAACACAGCCACCGTTTTTACACACTCGTGGAGTTTATTGCAATGCCTCATGACCCATTAAGGGCTGTACAGGAAAAAAAAAAGGTGTCATTTTGGCTCCATCGTCTTCAGTGGAACTCGTTTCAAACTTGGGAGTGCTGGTGTGGTTTAGGACTCCTTCCCTGCTTGGGATTGGAGATTGTGTCCCATCAGCCTCTCTCTCGGGTAGAATCGCTGTGGCACACCGACCCCCGACTCGCCAGCTGTGGTGCAAAACTGCCCAATGTCCCGATGTGAACTCCCACAAATCTCCATGCATACTGCAGGTCTCCCTCTCTTCCCCAGAGGGCTTCAACTTCAACTCCTAGGATGCACATAGTAGTTCAAAAGTCCTTATTTATGTGTACCGTAACATCACTTTATTGGCCCTATACAATTTCATTAGGAATACTGTACATTGCATTAGGAATTTGTCTTTTTGCAGACCCCAGCTTGCTCTCCATGAGACACAGACACACAGACAGGGAGAGAAGCTTGGGGTCAGAGTGCAGGGTCTGCCATTGTACAGCGCCCCTGGAGCAGTTGGGGTTAAGGGTCTTGCTCAGGAGCCCTACAGAGTAGGATTCCTCTGCCGGCCTAGGGATTTGAACCGGCAACCTTCCAGCCACAGGCGCAGATCCTGAGCCACAGAGCCACCGGTTCGCCCCTAGAGGGATTGACTTCACTTGTGCCCTCACTCCTGCCACAACAGATGTTAAGGCTTCTTCTGGGCTCGCTCTTTCCATTGGCTGATGGGCTGGTGTCTTAGGGATGTTTTAGAGACACTGCTCAGGTAATAAACTTAGCTTTTATTGCCCCCCCCCTGCCCTGTGTCTTCCAAACAAACTGCATCTCCCCTCTCCCACATCCTCCTGTACCGGGCTGCCTCTTCCTGCTCTCTGCATGACGCCTGCCTTCGCTCTGAAGGTAATCATTTCTCCGTCACTATTGACTGTGCTGCTTAATGGCTCCCAGTGCCACAGGCTGACGAGGGAGAGCGGCCTGTTCGAGCAGGCAGGCTGGGGGGGGGGAATCGAGAGCCGGATGAGGAGACGGGAAAAGGGACAGGATGGGTGGAGAGGGACGGAAGGGGATTCCAAACGGGACAAGGGCAGGGTGACTTGAACAGAACGGCGGGAGAGGAAGAAGAGAGAGTCTCCTGGCTGGGCCAAAGGGACTTCCTGTTCATCGTAGGTCCCCACAGCCTTGCCCTTCCTGCAAACAGACATGATGGTCCTTCTCTGCCTGCTGCAGTTTGACACGCTCATGACCAGCAAGGTGTTTAGATCCAGAAAGACTGCTAACTGCTTCTACGGTTAATTCTTCTTCCGAGGCGTTCACTCGCCATGCTCTTGGATAGCTTGCCTCGTGCTGGCCTGTGTCAACGCAAGGGGACAAGTTGCAGGACGAATGCCCAGTACAGTGTGGCGGTTTGCAGTAATATGGTCAGGGCAACCAAACAGCCATCTGCATACTCTGAGACCAGGAAACAGGACAAGAGAATCGGCAGGCTGTGACACAGCATCCTCTCCTACTGGACTCTAATTAACAGACCCCAGGCCACTGAGCTAATCATCTGGTTGGATGAGGCTGCTGGGCCATCTCGCTGAGTTTCTCATTAACCAGGAAACCCTTTAAAAGGGGCTCCTGTCTCTGTTAGTGTGATATCGTCAGCAGTTTGTCTCGTCTGGGGTCTAACGCTGTGTGCCTGGCCAGATGACCGGGGCCGCCCCTCGCCTCGTCACCCCACTCCAGGCTGGGGCTCAACCTCCCGGTTTTCTGGGGACATTCCTGACCTGCACAGACTCTGGCGGCAGTCCGTAGTGGGGAGCACAATTACCCTGCAGGGCCTGCTAGCCAGTCCAGAGCCTCAACACTGGTGTGCCAAATGCTGGTTCATCGCTGTAAATTTGCACGTTGTTTTCAGAATTTCCCTGTGGTCCTACTGCAGAAACAGCACTGAGTCCGTGGTTTCCCTGCATCTTCCCGCACCTAAAAAGCGTGCCCCTGTAAATCCTTTTAGGAAACAGTTTGTGGGCGATGAAGTGGCCTTTGGCGCCGTCTGCTGGAGGCTGTTGGGATCGGGGTTAGAAAACTGCAGCAGCTCGGGCGCTGTTCCCAAGAACTCTTCCCAAAAATGTTTCTAAAAAAAATCCCGTGCACTCCCACAATGATACGAACAGAGAAAGAAGTTAAAAAAGGACTCGGGCCTCGACGGGACCGGAACCGGGGGCAGCCGGAGGGAAAACTCCCGGACCCAGGCCGAGCGGAACCGAGCTCAGAGCCCAGAGCCCAGAGCCCAGCAGCAGCGAAGCACCGGGACCGACAAACCGTGAATCCGCGCTCACAGGTGGTGCTTTTAATTGCTTTGAGATGCTGGTTTGGTAGAAGTCAACTTTAATCACGGAAAATAGGTTTCTAAAGAAGCATTTCAGCGTATTTGTCTCCATGGTTGCCATGACATTTCAATGGAGCGAATGGTTCTTGCTTTTAACATTTTTTTTCCCTGTCACTGTGAAACGCGTGTTTCCAGTGGGACTTGTGACAACGGCGCACGGTGCTCGGGGGACCAGTCCAGGCAGATGTTGTCTTTTTCCCAAAATATTTATTTATTCAAGTGGCTGCGCAGCTCCGTGACTGTACCCAGCGAATGACGGTCACGGGAGGTTTATCGTGTCATTATATTGTGACCGATGGCCGGGTGCGCGGGATGTTCGATATGCTCGTGAACAGAGAGCAGATATCTCACTTGAAAACCCGCAACTCTCCAGCGTCCAGCGTGTGAAAAATACAGGTTTAATTCAAGAACAGAGCAAACTTGGTACATTCTGTGGACTGGTTTGTACCAACCCGACTGAACCGAGCCTGAGTCACAGTTACAACCCAAAAAGCTGTTCGCTCTTCTTCGCTAGAGGTCGTTCTGGAGTTCCTACTTCATCAAACTAGTACGGAGTCAGCTTTGGAAATACCGGCACACTGAGCAATATGTACTGTGTAATATTTTGTCAAGATCGCAGTATGTGTCGGTGTACAAATACGCGATTTTGCCGGGGACAAAATGTAAGTAATATAATAATTGCTAACAGTTCTGTAGCTGTTTCTGGACACTCCACTCAAAGCGCTTTACAGGTCATGGGGATCCCCTCCACCACCACCAGTGTGCAGCCCCACCTGGATGATGCTCCAGTACGCTCCCCACACACCAGCTCTCAGTGGGGAGGAGAACAGAGTGATGAAGCCAGTTCAGAGAGGGGGGTTATTACGAGGCCATGATGGGTGAAGGCCAGGGGGGAATTTGGCCAGGACACCGGGGTTACACCCCTACTCTTTTCAAGAAACGCCCTGGGATTTTTAATGACCACAGAGAATCAGGACCTCGGTTTTACATCTCATCTGAAGGATGGCGCCTTTTTACAGTCTAGTGTCCCCGTCGCTATACTGGGGCAACAGGACCCACACAGACCGCAGGGTGAGCGCCCCCTGCTGGCCCCACTAACACCTCTTCCAGCAGCAGCCTCAGCTTTCCCAGAAGTCTCCCTTCTCCCTCCCCTCTTGCTTGCACTCCAATGAGGTGCGTTACCGTACGTCTGCCAGCGTTCCCCTCACCTTCCTGGTTTTTACTGTTTTCCCACTGTGATTTACCGCCGATATCCCCCGCGGTCCCCCGCCCTTGTGCTGCCGCAGATCCCGAAGGAAAGGCCCGGCGCTGATCCTCATCATCAAGACAGTCTGCTCCAGAGAGACCCAGTTTCCTTAGTAATGGGGATTATCTGAGTATACGATTTATTCCATGCTTTATTACACTGACTGTGCTTTAACCGCGCTAAAGATCTTGGAAAACGATATTTAGCATTTGACTAATTTGGCTTAGGGGTCATTTTATTTTAGTAGACTTTGTCCCGCCACCTAGTGGCTAAAGCGAGTAACTACACGTGTTTCGTAATGAAGCGCAGCGCGCTGGGACGGGCGCGGGCAGGGTCTCCCTGGAGCAGACTCGCGCCTGTCTTTAGCGGCGGCCCTGGGACGCTCTGGGGTCCACGCCGGACAGGGCTGCGCCTGTGTCTGTCCCAGGGCACGGGGGCTCCTGGGGTTAATGCAAAAGCGAGCTCCCCGCCAGCTCCCCCGGCCTGCCCGTGCTCTCGGCGAGACACACAGTGACGTCTGGGAGTCTGGTCTCCCACTGGCAGCTGATCACTGGAAAAAAGTGCGATTCGTTCCACCCGGCACAAGACCATTAACCCCTCCCCGGCTCCGGGTCCGAGACTCTTTCCACCCTGGGGGTCATGAGGAAGACGAGTGTTGCTCATCTGGCTCTTTATTCAGGCGACGTTGTGCCTCTGAAGCGTCTCTCGCTCCCCCTCTGCGGGAATACTGTAACAGTGTCGGTCTGTTTCCTGGGAATCGGGAACTACCTCAGCTAAGCAACCGGAACAGTGCAGGAGAACAGAAAACCGTGTGGTGCACCGGGAAGACCTCGTTTAGAATATTGTAACGCTTAAGGCCGACAGGCACTGTGTAAGAGCCGGCGTACCAGAGCAGGTGATGTCACCGCTCTTCCCTGTGATAGCAGGACTACAGCTACTGGGCTGTAGAGAGATCTCTCTTTAGCTCACGGGGCTGGGTCACTGCAGAGAGACCCGGGTTCGAGCCTCAGTCGGGATGGGGCCAACCTAATGCGGCAAGGGCGCCCACCTGAGCCCCCGTTGCGTTACAATATTGTGGACCGCATGTATGAAAATTGAGGTAGCTGCCCTGAGAAAAAGGACCAGCTGCGTTCTGGGACTAAAGGGAATGGGCTCATGTTCACCACCGGGCTATACGACCCGAACCTGTTTTCTGAGCAGAGAGGATTACGAGGTGACCAGATTCAAGAAATCAATTTCCTTAAAGGCACTGACAAAGTCAGCCCAGTGGGCTTCTTCAGAATAAGCAATGGAACACAAACAAGTGAGCCTTTACGCAAAGAGTTGTAGGAGCAGGGGACAGGCTACCTGGCCATGTTGTTGAAGCCTTCACCTCGGCATCTTTAAAGATAAACCCAGGCGAGACCCTGGGATCAATTAACTAATTAATTACTAACTACCAAGCAGGCCTGATGGGCCAAACACCTCCTCAGGTCTGTGACCTGTCTTGTGTTCTTGTGGCTCAGACGGCTTTTTCTAGGCGGGAGCTGCCCAGCTCCACCGAGGGATCGCGAGGAAAGAGACCAGGCCAGCCGACCTCTGGGTGTCTGTTTATTCGTACGCTTACTCCTCTGTACAGCTGGGCGTTAATTGGTTTCGCCATTTCCCAGACAATATCATTTAAAATAACAAGTCATCCTTTAAAATCAGCTTCTCCGTCAAACGGGTTCTTCTTCAGCGACGTATCTACAGATATGTACAGAGACCCCTGTGGGGGAGCAGAGGGGCGCGGGGGGGAGGGAG